TATACTGAGAATTTAATAGTAGTATTTTTATTTCTCTAAAATATCTTCTGCAAGAGTCTATCCCTAATCCCCATAATAATTCTAATAGCTTTTTCTTTTGTAGTCTAAAAATCATGTTGCTATAATGAGAATTTCCCCAAAATATAAATGCTGACCCTCTGTTGCCAAAGATCATGAAGTTCAAGGCTGATTATATTCATTGTGGATTCTTTTTACATGTTTTCTTCAACCATCAACTCTGAAAAAAAAAAACTGAATTATTCAAAAAATGTATGAGGCCCACGCTGATAGTCATATTTAACAAACTTAATACTGAATGTTGTAATTAAATGGTTAGTACTGCTGTTTCATATTTGTGAAGTAAAAGGTAAAAAGGTGAAGTTATCCCTGTGCTTTAGCTAATTAAGAGCCACACCATAAAAATGTATTGGAGGTGTAAGTATAGCTCCATGCTAGCTTAAGGTGAGTGGTCAGCTTCACTCCATGGCTGCTTTATCCCTAGAGAAACAGCCCCTGGTACCAATCGGATAGGAGGCTGGATAGGCCCCAGAGCTGGTCTGGATGCTGTGGAGAAGAGAAAAATCCCTGCCTCTGCCAAGGATCAAACTGCATCCATGTAGCCATGGCCTATCACAATACTGAGCTATCCTGGGTTTGAATCTCATCCCAGAGACCTGGCATTCTGACTGAGGTTTTTCATTCCTCCCAAGCAACTTAACACATCTAATTAGGCCATGACCACTTCCTTCCACATCCTTCCCAATTCATTATTCACTATTCATCCTGTCTTTAAAATGGCACTTCATAGGTAAGATTCTTCTGGATCCTCGATCAGGACAAAAGTACTGTATATTTGTAATGAAATTTTTGGGACCAAGTGATTTGAATATCTCAGGCAGAACAAAACATTACAAGGAAACTTCTGAAATTGGTTATATTGTACGAAAGTTTGTTTCAACAGGTTTGCATAGTATTTATGGATGAGCAGGAATAAGTTTAATCTTTTTACTCGTAATTACTATGATGGAATTTATTGGTGTATAATTTTAAAAAATAATATAATTACACTTTAATGTTAAAACAAAAGACTGGCCAGATTCAAACCATTTGCTTATTGATGACTGCAGTTTCAAGCAGTAAGTATAAGTTTGCTATTACATGGGACACATAGTCAATGAATATGTTTTTAATAATGTAGAAGTTTTAGAACTTTGCAATGTAAATGTACTGCCATATGTCAAGCACCTGGGAATACAAAGGTAATAAACACAGAACAAAGTCCATGTCAGACATTTCAGAATCACTATAACTAAATTATTATCTGTTTTCAGGAGATGAAGAAAATACTGAAGAATTCTTCTCAGCTCGAATAGATATCAGGAAATTTGTGCAGTTCCTTACAAGTGAACAAGTCAACCCAAGCAAAGTAGTGTGCAACATTGTGGATGATAAAATGGTTGCCATGTTTTTAATTAATGAAGACATTATAATGCATTATTTTCTACCTGCAGTAGCTGCATGAAGAAAATATTTGTATTCTGTTTCACAAAAAGTGAAAAAAGTAAAACTATCCCTGTAACAGGCCGTGAAGGCGCATACGGTTGTGAGACGAGGGTCCCACATTATCTAGACAATCTGCTCAAAGATGTCGGTAAGGTTGTCAGCCTTACGCGCTGGCTGCGCTTTAGAGTAAAATTATTTAATTGATTCTTGATAATCGTTTCTGTTAGAGGCTGTCAACCCCAGGGCCATAGTGTGGCTGGAAGGATTAGGTCAATTGAAAAAATCTCCAATAACCTCTTTGGGACTTGAACCCGCAACCTTCCAGCTTGTAGCATTTTTAAGATCTTTCATTGAATTTGATTTGCATGCAAACTTTAGTTTAACCCATTTAATACTATTTTACTAATTATGCTAGAGTATTCAGGATAAAAGACTAAGTTCCTTGTTCTGCGGCCACTTCTGGCCTACTGTACCAACCCCAGATGATAGGTGAGGGTGATTGTGGAACAATTGGTGGGATGAAGATTGGCAGGGGAAACCGAAGTACTCTGAGAAAACCTGCCCCAGCTCCACTTTGTCCACCACAAATCCCACTTGACCAGACCCGGGATCGAACCCGGGCCGTTGCGGTGGGAAGCCAGCGACCAACTGCTTGAGCTATGGCGCAGCCCAAGAGAAAGCTAAGTATATGTTACTGTCTCGTCACCAAAATGTAGAGCAAGATCATGACATAAAGATAGGTAACAGATGTTTTAAAAATGTGGCACAGTTCAGATATTGGGGAACGATGATAACAAACCAAAATCTATTGAGGAGGAAATTAAGAGGAGATTGAACTCGAGTAATGCTTGTTACCATTCGGCCCAGAATCTTTTGTCTTCTTGAATGCTGTCCAAAGCATAAAAATTAGAATATACAAAACTATAATTTTTGCCTATAATTCTGCTGACACACCTGTTGAAATTTTGTATCTTGTCTTCGAATTTGAGGTCGTAAAAGATCTGCTAATAAAAAATTTCAGTGCTTATTCTGTAAAATGATTTGAACAGTTCTGTATCCTGATTAAGTTCTTTCGAAACAATATAAACACCTGAGTTTAAATTGTCGCGAAAGAGCGAATGCAGCCAATGTTTCCCTTTCTCCTATCTTACGCCCTCTCAACCACCACCATATGATTACAGAAACAATATTATTTTCTGACATTGCAAAGAGAAGTGCACGAAATTGGTGGGCTACACACCGACTTGAGATGATGTGAGCAACTAATCGAACGTAAGTTTCCTCAGTGTGTGCTTGCTAATTTGGAAAAAAGTTACCTTCTTGAAGTTGGGGATATTTCCCTGAAATCGCGGTTGCGTTGCAGTTGCCAGTTTCCTTGGTGTTTGCCCAACCTAATTCGCTTGAGGGAACTGCCCACACTCAAGCAAGTGTGACAACGCAAGTATCATTTTTTAGCAACGGTGAGTAAACCGGTTGCTAGGCAAAGCCTACAACAATACGGACAGTGACATGTTTTCTATATGTCCGACTCTTGGTTATATAAGAAGACACATTGAGTACAGTACTAGAAACTCCTGCAAAACAAAGTTCTCCGCACCATTGGCAAATATCCAAGGCGTACACCGGTCCGCAAATTGCACACGGCATTCAAAATTCCATACGTATATGATTACATAACAAAATTATGCAGGCAACAAGCAGAAGTCATACAATATCATGATAATGAGAATGTTCGCAACATCGGACAAGGCGAAGCCCGACACAGAAAGTATAAGAGGCTTAAACTTGGCGGCGGTCGGGCATATGACCGTTCAAGTGACTAGACTGCCGTGGTAGTGAATACTACTAGAAATAGGGCATAATCTGCTGTACTGAGCCTGGATTGACAGAGGCCTTGTATATATTGTACATAGAAATAGGAATTAAGATTAAAAATGTAAATATATGTAAATACTGACAATGGACATACTAATATGGACTATGACTGACAAATGACAGACCCGACCTCTCGTCAGAGAGGGCTCCCCAAATGAGTCGGACAGTAACTTTTATCATCATCATCAGTAATCCGTCAAGACGACAGGTCCACAGTCTCTTCCAAAACAATTCCTCCACTTAATGCGATCTAGAGCTTTCTCCTTCAAATGACAGTATCGTTTTCTGTCCCCACGGTCATCCAGCATCTTCTTATGTCTT